TTGTTTCTGATATCGAGCAAGTTGAATTCTGCTTTCGAGATCCACGTGCGCACACCAAATGGAGCAACCACGCCTGAATCCAATCTTACATGGGCTCAGTGTCAGTTTTTCTGACATCCATCGATCTATACGTGTATATAAAATTCTTTCAACTAATTTTACTAGGTTCGATGTAAGTGAAATGGGCCTGATATTATCTAAGGTAAACCCAGCGCCTTGCTTTTTTAATAATGGAATCACTTTTGTCGTTCTCCAATCAGGTGGCATCCAAGAGCTTTTAAGTGAGTGATTAATAATTTCGAGTAGGCCAAGTGGGAATATTTTATGCACAGATTTTATCACTGATGTCGTCATGCCATCAGGACCAGGAGCCGAATGGGGTAGTGTTCTGACTACGTTTGCTAATTCTGCAGGCGTAACCTCTTCAAAATCCTCAGCCCTTTGGGGGGACTGGGCTTGGTATGAGAGAAGTGTCGTAAAGCGACTTTCTAGGCCCTGAGCTATATCTTCTAGAAGGGCCTTCAGTTCAACTGGTGATGATACTACAGATTCTATAATTCTTTGTACCGGAAGAACTTTCTTAGTTCTCAGAAAGCGAAAAAGTGCTTTTCTATTGACCGGCTTTGACAGGAACTCACATCGGTCGTTGTTAAATTTGTCCTTCGCATTAGCGATGGTTCTCTTAAAAATAGCGGCTGCATACTTATAATCACTCCAGTTCCTGGGACACTGGTTGAAGATTAATTTTTTCCATGCAGCCTTTCTTAATCTATAAGCCCGCGAACAGTCCGCATTCCACCAAGGGTTGGTAGACGGTTTAGCGCTTTCAATGATGAATTTTGATTTATTTAACGACTCTTTTAAAATGTCGCTAATTCTAATGGCATCTAGTTCTGCATCATTGGTTTTATTAGATAAAGCGCCTCGTACGGATTTCTCGAAAGCATTAAAGTTTACATGTGTTACGGCTGATCTATTCTTGGAGGTTGTTGGACATACCACCTCGAACAATATTGGCATATGGTCACTACTTGTTCCCGAGTTAATCGCAGACCATGATAAGATGGAGAGGTTAGCGTTAGAAAAAGTTAGATCGAGTACCGAGGAGGATTGATTACACATAAAAGTAGGAGTTTTTGTGTTTATGCATATAAAGTTATTATTGTTCACCCAATCCCATAAACGTTTGCCATTCAGATCAGTTTTAAAACCCCAAGATATATGATGAGAATTGAAGTCACCTACTAATACAATATCTTTTTGGCAATATTGAACTGCAGTATCTAGGACGGAAGAATTTAGAACACCCGCAGGAAAATAAGCATTAATAAATGAGAATGGGAGGGACCCAGGAAGAGTAATGCTTATTGCTAAAATCTCGCTTTCTGAAGCCGATGACTGATAAATAATTTTAGCTCTGTGGGCGATTTTAGATGAGATAAATATTGCCAAACCTCCACCCCGAGTTGGGCGGTCTAGACGAAATGAGCGGTAATTTTTAATCCTAAAATACTTATTTTCTGCAAGCCAAGTTTCTTGTAAAACAACAATATCAGGGGAGTAATTATCGCAAAGTTGAAGTAAGTCTGTGGCTGCTGAAAAAATGGAGCGGCAATTCCACTGTAGTACTTTTAAATTCCCTATTTTGAAGAGATACCAGCAGCACTCACTGCTTTCTCTAAGATGCTATCCTTTAAAAAATCTTTTTTTGATGGGTTTTCCTTCTGATATCGCTTATTTCTTGATTTAGGACGAAACGTACTCACAGGTACCGATGATCGCGAATAAGCGTCTCAGTTGTTACTTCGCTGTGTCTGAAAAGCGTGCCCTTTTCGCAAACGGAAGCTGTGCAACGATTGCAGTGACCTTTGTGCACCCCGTAACTACAGCAGAATCGTTCCAGTGCAAGCCACACGCCAGCCAAGACGTATGATCCTCCCCACCGGGAGATAAGGGCACGCGAGAGATCATCCCCTCCCTTCCCTTCCTTTCCGCGGGCTAAAAACGCGGGAGATAAGAGCCGCCGCGCGCTGATTGCGCCATCTTGCTGATAATGCTGAAAACACGACATAGTCCTTCCCTCCCCGAGATGCCCGCCAACAGCGGTGAGTAGTAGGTATAAATAGCTTGCCGTTTGAACGTTGAAAGAGGTACCCCTCAGTGGTTAAAGCCTTGCATTCACTACGCGGAGGTCCCGCGTTCGATTCCGCACGCCATGCAGAGTATTTTTTCTAGATTTTTTTTCTTTCTTGCGTTTCCATATACATGGATACGTATACATATATGATGCATGACATCGACACCGACGCCGGTGGCGAAATCCAGCCGAGAGTGTCCATATAATTGCTATCGCAATAATTACTATCGCACAAAAGGAGGGGACGAAAGCATTATTTTGAAGAGGTGTGCTCAATTACCTATATATCATAACATACAGGGTTGCATTGCAATAGATGGCGGCAGCGGTAAATCACTATTACCAAAAACGGTGCTGAAAGACACACTACTGTTCGTCAAGGTGTAGAGGCCATTTATCAGGTCGGGACTGGGAGTACTATAGGACCTTCGTTACTTTGTGGTGCGTCAAAGTTCCTTCAATAACCAACGGCATGACTGAACCTTCATCGTCAATTGTGTCGGTGCTTATAGCGTTCTAAACGGCGAAGAGGGCAACACGAAGAAATTCATTTATTTACTTACTTATTTATTTATATTTCGTGAAACCCTCAGGGTACATCTGTACATTATAGATACGAAGGGCGGAATTATAGTAGAACAACAAATTAAATACAGAATTATGTAAACACATTAACATGAAGATAAATATAATTATAAAGTTTTACATGCAAAGAACACACTTTATTAGAAGACAACTGAACTCAAACAACAAAGAATACACTCAACAGCCGATAACACTTACGCCGGTTAGTACAATTCACGATTCCAAGTTTATTAGTGCATTCTTAAATCGAGTGGGATTGGTGATGCTTAATAATGATGCATGTAGGTTATTCCAATCTATTGAAGTCTTAGGAGAGAATGATTGTGAACATGCTAAAGTGTTGACGCTGACCTTGTGCACGTGATCATGGCGAGCTGTATGGTACGGCGCTGTGTGAATCCAAAGTGAGCGAAGGAAAACATTGTGTGGTCATAGATTTTGTGAAATAATGAAATGCGTGATACATTTTAGGGTCGAAGCTTCTTATAGCGGCACCCGTTCATCCCTCGTAGCCGTTGTAGTGTGTAACAAGTATAACATTTTGACTTCCAAGGTGGTGCCAACAAGAGATTTCTTCTGTGCGTTGTTGAACAATAAAAAATAGTGCTCAATGTACATACCATTGGCTGCTAATGGGGAATGAGAGACAGGAGCATTCGGCTTTTAGTTAACGCGCACGCTGTGATCCCCATTAGCAGCCATTAGCATGTACATTGAGCTATATAATAAGAATGAACTCGAGGTGCCTAATGTTGGGAAGTAGATACGAAGCGCAAGCCGTAAAAAAGTAAAAGCCGAATTCTCCTGTCTCTCCTTTCCCATTAGCAGCCATTGGCATGTACATTGAGCACTATCTGACAGGAAAAGGTTGCTACGTTATACTCGCTGGGCGTAACCTCCTTGGTTTTAGAAAGGTTTAGCGAGCGTTGGGCCACAGTGCCATGAATACAGTGAACTAGTATATACCATGAACTCGAGGTGATTAAAGGTGGGAAACAGACCCGAAGCGCAAGCCGTAAGAAAGTGTGCGTGTGCCACCTCTCGTTTAGTCCTTGGAATGTCCGCTGGATGGCGGTGCTTAGATATGGGGATTATATGATGAAAAGATGCGAGATGGTGGTACTTGGAGTGTTGAATAGATGGACGAACGGACTCACAGACAGATGCGTGAATGGACGCATGAATGGACGCAGGGGCGGATGCATAGACGAACGCAGGGACGGACGCACGAACAGTCGCACGCACGGACGGGTGGATGGACGCATGGATGGTCACACTGACGGACGCATGGACGGACGGAAGCAAGAACGAATGGACGGACGAATGCCTTCCCCCACTCTCCATCATTCACTCCGTGGATATGCTGCCATTTTTTTTTTGCGAATAGAGAGTATACATAATGGATTATAGATCGTACTCTTCATTAATGAAACACTAGCAGAGCGATGATAATTACCTTGGATGAAACGAACAGCGCGATTTTGTATCGATTCCATTTCGTTATTTAATGTGACTTGATGAGGATCCCAGATGGATTAGGCGTATTCCAGTTTGGGGCGAACATTGCTTATATATAGCAGTCGTTTCAATTGGACAGATGCAAAAGAATTTCTTTTTCAAATATCATAATCAGCGGTTAGCTTTGATGTTATGTACTGTACGTGCTGCTTCCAAGGGAGAGCGTAATGTAACATAACAAGCTTATAATAATGTAGATACCTGCAAAGATAACCTCTTTTGTAGAGGGTGAATACCACTTTGCCTTTTCACACCCTACTGTTGACGAAGCATCTCATCATCATTCTACATTGATGAAATTAGAAGTCTCTGTTTTGTTGTCATTTTCGTCCTTTATTTTACAATCTTTCATTATGTAATTATCTGGAAACTGTTTAGGAGAGTTATGTTACCTTTATTTTTTACCATGTCTGATTTCGGTTTTGGGTGCTGCTTTCTGCTATTGTTTTTCTTAAGGTAGAACTATTTTTTGCCTGGGATGTATTTTATTGTTTGTTGTATGTACCACCAATTACTGCTTGAACTATTTTTTTCTGTATTCGCTACTTCAGGAGGTTCCCATTCGGTCACTGACTATGGGACCTCATTTTGTATACAAAAATTTTGTAATGATCCGGTGACTAAATAAAACCAGTTCTGATTCTGACCGCGAAACTTTATTTCCACCTGTACACAGGACAATGGATGTTGTAAATGGTTGTTTACTTCGAAGAGCTAACTGATATATTACAAGTATACCTTGTTAATGGCTCCTCCGCAGAGTACCTGCAGAACGCATCCTGCTTCCGCAAGGTCTCCGTCGACAACTGCGGCGTCTTCTACACAGCCATGGTGGATCAGGTCACCAACCCGGCATCCAGGCACGATCACATATGCTGGTGAGTAAGGCTCTCGATTAGCGCATTCGTTTAATAACATTCTGCCTATATCAGAAATAATATGTAGTGCATTTCACTTGTTTATGACTAAAAGCTCATCGGCTAGCCAGACGTCCAGTTGCGAATGTGTATCGGAAAGTTTAGGTATAAAATAAGTTATTCTAGGTAAGCCTTACTCTTGCCAAACGAAGTCTATGCACTTTCTCCAATTGCAGCTTTAGGGAGTTTCTATTCTGTGTATTGATAAGAACGCTCTAGACATTGGATTCGATCTTTTATCTGATTGGATATCCGTTTGTTGCGATCCTCAATAACTTAGTGTATGCTCAATTAATCAATATTGCTGTTAGAACACTCGTACTTACAAGCCACCCTTTGAGAAGCTTTTGCGAAGTCAGCCCTGTATTGCCCCGCCATGGTGGTCTAGTGGCTAAGGTACTCGGCTGCTGACCCGCAGGGCGCGGGTTCGAATCTCGGCTGCGGCGGCTGCATTTCCGATGGAGGCGGAAATGTTGTAGGCCCGTGTGCTCAAATTTGGGTGCACGTTAAAGAACCCCAGGTGGTCTAAATTTTCGGAGCCCTCCACTACGGCGTCTCTCATAATCAAATAGTGGTTTTGGGACGTTAAACCCCACATATCAATCAATCAATCAATCAATCAATCAATCAATCAGCCCTGTATTGCTCACTCTTCCGTGCCATGCTTTCAAATGCAGTTCGTACAGCCAGTTCAAGAGTTGTGTCAGCGAGCCCTTGCTGAGGCTTTGCGGCAACCGAGCGAGGACCATCATGGACCACTCCATGGCTTTTCTCATCGATCGTTGCGGGAAGTCATACTACTCGTAAGTAATGACGAAACTCTAAATATTTATTAATGTCTTGAAAGAAAGTTCAGGATGCTGCTGATTAGTGGTGGACGATCACGATGTTGCTGCCTCCAATGGCTGATTGTTCGCAGATGAGCGCGGATACATGTGAACTAGGTGGTGAACACTGAAGCATGCTCGTTGGGACTTATGTCCTTTTTAAAGAAAACTGTTTGCTTTTCTTTAACGAAGGTTCATCTAGGTGAAGGCGTATACAAATTCGCTCATTATTTCTACGTCCGGCGCAGGTTATCCTACAAGTGTCCCCGGGCTCGGGCCCTGCCGCTTGCGAGCAACGAGGCCACGCCGAGTCCTATCGTCTCGTCCTCAGCGTCTCCGGTAGGTTCGGGAGCGGGCACGAGCACACGTCGCCCCAAGAAGTCCGTCGTCTCGATCACCACCTGGTATCCGCGCACGGCCGTCTACACGCTCAAGCCTACGCCCAGCAGCCAGGTATCTCGGTACAGCGCAGCCGCCCCGTGCGATCCGGCACAGCGCTGGCGTCGACGCTGGTGTGCGTGCCGCTGCTGGTGCCAGTGTTACTGTCCAGGTCCAGATGAGTGCGACGCCACTGAGTCCTTGGCGTCACGTGGCCAACCAAGGATGCGTCGGCGCACAAGCAACGCTTCAGAAGGCCATGGATGATGGTCGGTTCTATAGGCACCGTGCAGTGGAGTTTTCCGTGTGCGACAGCAACACCACTAGAATGTCCATCCTACAGTGAGCTGAAGAAGCAAAATTAGGCTGCTACGAGAGTAGAAACGAACGTGGCACAGCAATCTCCTCTCTCAAGTCCGTCTGTGATTGGGTTTGACATTGCCCGATATGGCAGGTCTGGAGAATGCTTATCACTTTCGTGAATCTCCCTTGTGCTCGGAACTGACCTCGGTCACACTAACAGAATACGCGCACGTGTTTTTTTCTTCGGGCCCCTTGCAGTTAACGTCGGCGACACTGGGCCGTTTAGTTTCGACAATGTTGGTGCTTATTAGGATAGGAATGGCTCGATGGCCACCTTACCATGCGCAACATTTAAAAAAAATGTTAGCATAGACTAGCTACCGAGATTTTCCCCATGTGGTTGCAACATAAAAAGAGTCATCTTAAGCAAAGGCTAGAGAAATTGTACGTCCCTGTGAGTATCTTCCCAGAAAACGGTCTGCTTAAAGCTAGCGGTGATTTCATTTGTGCCCGGATCGTGGGCCTCTATCAGGACTTCTCTGGAGTGCCGCGTTCTTGACGTGGCTCCAAAGAGTGCACCTCTGATCACCGGTATACCTACTCAAGAAGACTTCAATTTAAAAAGAAGTGATCTATTTAGAGATGATTATCCGGTGACAGCAGCCTGATATGACTTCACTACCGCGGAATAGTGCTTATTGTAGTACGATTTACACAACGCAACATTTGGGATGTGCACGTTGCTTGTTCTATAACACCATAAGGCTTAAGCACATGGCGCTTTGCATTCGCACTTGTAAATCACATATCGAAAAAAAAGACGTGCTGCCGATATGACGAAGCAAGGAGCTTAATTGCTGGTTTAAATGATATATGCACAATCAAAACGCAAGAAGTAAAACCCGAAGGCAATGTTCTTTTGTTTTTCTGACCCTTTCACTACACTTCAGGTGTGCATGAGGCAGGAAAGGTAGACACAACGTACTTTTTCAAATACTGTATTTGTTCGGCTACGTGAAATGCAGGCAGGTTTTCAAAACAGCTTTTGGTTAGCATGAGTAGGCTGAATCAGGTACATCTACATCTGCGGTGCCGTGTCTAATGTACTTATGGATTGGTACGCTATATCACATTTCGTACTATATGACGACTGCTAAGATAAAATACTCAAAACATTATCATATCACCGCAAATTCGGTTGTTTAGGATAGTGTTATCTATTATGTAAGTCTCACAGTCAATATAACGCCGATATAGCACGAGCTGCCGCCGCTGGAAATGAAGGTACGTGCAATAAATGGCCTAGTCCTAAATTTTCGCGTTTCAATTTGCGAGCTCTGTACAGATGGGTGTGAGAGCGATCTCCCTTTCCCCCAAACACACTTTGCTGAAGCTATTCATTATATGTAAATGCAGTCTTGGGTGTTTTTCTTTTGGTTTCACTGCAATATTATTAAGATAACGTTGTGAATGTACAGACACGTCACTAACATACGTCGTCAATGCGAGCTTGTCACATAGACGGTAGCGTCCGAGCATGTCATGATAATATAAGCAGATCCATGCCATGTAATATACAAATGTTCCTAGCAATCGATGCTGGGTTCAATGTGCCCTCGTTGGTTCTGGTGGAATTCCGTGAATTGCCCAATGAGACGTTCTAATTAAGGAAGATGAATAGAGAACTTTTGGTGTAAACCTGTCTAGAGGATGAGAGGTCAACACCAAATTATGAGGCTACAAAAACAAAAGAAACACGTTACCGCTCACTTAAACACGACTTTCTCTGCTAATCTAACTTACTGCGACATGTGGGGGGATAATTTTCCAAAGGTATTGGCGTAACACGTCAGATGTTACGATTTCACAAATCATTTCATGTTTTTCCTTAGCAACTGTAACATACACGCACAAACCTATTTTTTTTCATTCGGTGTTATTGCTTCAGACATAAAGATGCTTTGAGAGTGTTTTGAGAACTAGGTATCGCTCTGATAGTTTCGCCAATATTGGACACATATTGACAATAATACGGAAAATACAAAGCAGTTGAGATAGCGAAGTAGGTCTCGTATGTCAGTTTTTTTTGTGTGTGTACCTAATAAGTGGCTTCAAAGCGTTCATTTAATGACAGAAAAAAAAACAGTTCCCAAATCTTGACTTCTGGGCTAAAATTACGACACTGCTCTTTGTTTCTTCTATTGCTCAGAACCTCGTGTGAGAGGACTATTATAAACAACTGTTTCATATTGTAACGTTGTTCCAATAAAGTTTATTTTCCATCTGAAATGTGTGCCAGCGTGGTATTAATTCTTGTCCACTCAGACCACCAATATTAATCGGCCAACTAGAGGGTCTTTGCCTCTGAGCTCGGCTACTTCTCTCTAAGACTATGCTTCTTCTGTACCTCTGACCATTCTACTCCTATTCATTATCTTTCATAATTATAATGATAGTTGTTGGGGTTTAGCGTACCAAAATTACAATATATATATGCACGAAGTCGTAGTGGAATGCTGCGGAAATTTTGACCAGCTGGTGTTCTATACCATGCATCTAAGTATCATCTTTCACGAGCGGCCACCCCTGGAAGGAACATACCTGTACAAAAGTCCGCAGTTAATGCGGTATTTTACGCAACGAATTTGCAGCACATCCGGCTAAAGGGAACCGTATATGGATGTGAAGCAGCGGGAAGATGGTGAATGGCACCCACAGAAACTCGTCTAAGTCGCTTTAGACAGGTGCGCCACCATTTAGAACCTCTACCTGACCAACGCTGCCGGTGACCATGACTATAGCACTGCAGCTGGTCCCTCAACGCGCACGCCCGAGACATCGAACGTGATCCCGCCCTAACCAAAGCAGACACACTCCGTCCCACGGAAACTTGAATCTTCGCAGGACCGACGATCAACGGCTACGAACAGAGCAGACGCGCCCTGGCTCACGAACGCGTATCCACGGATGAGAGGAGCGTAAGAGAGAGAGGGGAGAAGGAGATGCGCGTGCGCAGTTAAGGTGTGGACGCCGATCTGCTGAGGAAGAGTTTTGTCGCCTTTGCCGACAACTCGGGAGAGAGGGAGCGTAGGAGAGGACAGAGAGGGGAGAGGACGGACATGCGCAGTAAGGGTGGTCACGCCGCACGTTAGATTGAACTCCGCCATAAGCTGCTTCGCATCTAAAATGCCTGTACTATTTCTATCCTTTACCTGTTTATTTCTTCTCTGAATGGTGACGCATATTTTACCCAGCTTACTGGCAGCTGCAAAAGCTACGTTGACGCCTCCTTTTTTTTACCCTGATCGATATGAAATGCATATATGAAATACGCAGGACTAATTTCTTTTTCTTACGGCCATTTCTTATCTTCGCGTTCTCATGCGTGAGCCAGCCTGCACTAAACTTGCCTAAAGAAAAAAAAATTAAATGCTGAAGCAGTTATCTCTCTCGTACACCTGCACGTGCGCCTGGTTGACAGGGAGCGCCAGATTTTTCGATCATGGGCCGAATGTTTTTTTCGTTCGTACATATTTCTCCATCACAGGGTTCTTTTATCTTTTGTTCGTGGCCTCACGTCTTACCTTATTTCGTAACGAATATTAGTCATCTAACTGAGCTTTCAGTCGTTCTAAACTTGCCAAGTCTCAGCAATGCTTGCTTCTTGAGAACCACAGTTAATTTTTAGTGCAAACATCCAAAATAAGGGATGAGGTGATGAGAGCGGCCATGGTTGCGGCGAGAGCTTCCAACAACTTTGCTTCAACTGCTCGGTAAGTACATATCGGTATTTTGCTCTATTAGCCTGACGTTGTTTGGTTTCACCATATGAAAGTGAAATAGAAAAACTAGGACCTCTAACCAACTTGCGTAACGTAATAGTCATACCTTATACGTTTAAACTAGATAAGTACCAGATTCGACAAACTCGTTCGTTGCGATTCATAAGAACACAATACGGTTCGCGAAGTATCCAAGAAGCATAGGGCATGTTCTCAAATGCCGTCGACAGTTGCAGGAAAGAGTGTATCCACATCTACGTCGACAAGACTGCAAAGTGAGTAAGATGTTGTAAGCCAGGTTCCTCAATCTCACCGCAGCCAGTGCACCGTACTGACGTGATTCGGTCCCGCAATGGCCCGCCGGACAGGGAAGGAGGTAAAAGTGGGAAGGAGGGGCTAGTTTGTACTGATCGTCAGCTAGCGATGTCATTTGAAAAAAAAAAAAAACTTTTCCATATATTATATGTGAGTAATATCTAGAAGATATTTGACGCCAGGATTACGATATGTCGATATC